GGGGTCGCGGCATTAAAAAGGTTGAGAACCACTGCAGTAGACTGTTGGCATCCCAGCCAGTAGTCCTGTGGTAATGACATGTATGTTGCCTTTCTTTCCTTCAAGGAATGTATAAAATACATTCGCATATTAATACAGAGGAGTCGGAAGTACAAAAAACTGAGGAGTCGGAGTTGGAACATTTATCTACCGACTCCACAGCCCTGCTTATTTCCATCACTTTCTCCTCTCATCTCATCTGGATGTGAAATTGTGTGTGTGTGCAGACACAGATTTTGGCACCGTCTGTAAGTTAGCCCGTTTGAGGTACATTGGGTCAAAAATGGTTGCCTTGTGATGCACTGTCTCACTCAGTCAAAGGTTACAGACACAGAGATGCAAGTGTTTTAGTAGTACACAGCTAACCCTCAACTTACAACAGTCCCTTTAGTGACCATTCAAAGTTACAACAGCCCTGAAAGAAGCGACATGGCCGTTTTTCACACTTACGGCCATTGCAGCCTCCCCAGGGTCACGTGATCAAAATTCAGGCGCCGGGCAGCGGGCTCCTATTTATGACGGTTGGCAGTGTCCCCCGGGGTCCCGTCATCATTTTTTTGCGACCCTATAAGAAGCAAAATCAAAGGGGAAGCCTGGATTCACTTAACAACCGTGTCACTAACTTAAAAGCTACAAGTGGTTCACTTCACAACTGTGGCAAGAAAAGTCGTAAAGTGGGGCAAAACTCACTTAACAACTGTCTCGCTTAGCAGTGGAAATTCTGGGCTCAGTGGTGATCGTACCTTGAGGATTGAGCGATGTGGCTTCTCACGTATAACCTATAAGCTGGAATTCCCCAAAGGCCCTCAAGCATTCAGCGCCCCTTGCTTGCTTTTTCTATCACAACGTTGATCTTCCTGTGTGTGGCAACCACACCGTTGTTATCTCTGCTCTTTCAACACAGGCCTTAGGAAAGGCCCCTGCTCTCCCCTCACCTCCCCCCCCCAGGATTTCAACAGAGAAGGCAAACAGAGGTTCACTCGGCCACCTTCCAGGTGTTTTTTTTTCTTCTTCTTCCTCCCGATGATGCCCGGCAGATCCTGGCCTGTTCCCCTTTGGGCAGAGTCTGAAGCTTCCTGCAATCCGGCATTCTGAGTCCTTGCAGCGACAGGACCTTTTCTTTCTTCCAAGCCCTCACTGACCAGCCCAGGGGCAGCTTTTGCCACCACTGCCGTCCTGCCAGCCCACGGAAGGCGCTCAGGTGTGCCGCACGGATCCTGCGCCTTGAAAAGGGAGCGGCGCTTCGGTTGCAATTGTGATCACCGGCTCGAATTTTTTTTACCCTCACCCCAACAGATACAGGTAGCCCTTGACTTACAACCCTTCTTTTAGTGACCGTTCCGAGTTACAACGGCACTGAAAAAAGTGACCCGTGAGCATTTTTCACACGACCGTTGCAGCATCCCCACGACCACGGGATTTACCTTCGGGGGCTTGACCACCGACTCACATTTATGACGGTTGCAGCGTCCCGGGGTCTTGTGATCCCCTTTCGCGACCTTCTGACAAGCAAAGTCAGTGGGGGAGCTGGGTTCACCAAACAAGTGCAGTGGTTTACTTAACAGCTGTGGCAACGGAGGTCGTAAAATGGGCCAAAACTCACTTAACGACTGGCTCACTTAGCAACGGGAATTTGGGACTCCATTCTGCCTATACATCGAGGACTACTTGTCTGTCCGTCCGGGATAATTTGCTGAGTTGTTTGTTCACATCTTCCCACCCCCCGCTGTGTAAGAATTGTGCTTGTGGGGTTTGCGTGTCTACCTTCCACTCCTGGCAACTCCACGGACGAGTCCCTGCAGTTTTCCTGGCTGTGTTTTTGGAAGTGGATTATGGTTGCCTTCCTTCCCCAGGGCTGAGACGGAGCGACTGTCTGAGACGAATGAAGGCTCCCAGTTTCCTGGTGTCTAGCCTGCTGCCTTAACCACTGCCCCAAACTGGTTCTCTCATCAGGATGATATTTTCCCATTAACCCTAAATACATCTCTGCTCCTATTCACCGTGCTGCAGAAGAGTATGTCTCAACCTTGACGGCTTTGAGATGGGTGGACTTCAACTCCCAGAATGCCCCAGCCAGGATGAGAAAGCTGTCAAGGTTGAGAAAACTGCTCTGGGGTACCCATATCCAATGATAAAGATCGCTCCTTACAGCTACTGTACCAGCCAAAATAGGAGTCCGTCGCCGTGAATTAACTGGAACTAAACTTTCAGACTACACTCACGTAGGAAGCGATAGATTAGATTAGATAATGATAGACAGATGATAGATAGATATAGCCAAATAATGATATAGATGATAGAAATAGATGATATAGCAGTAGCATAGATAGATAGATGATAGACAGATGGTAGATAGATAATGATAGACAGATGGTAGGTAGGTAGGTAGGTCTATAGATAGATAGATAGATAGATAGATAGATAGATAGATAGATAGATAGATAGATAGATAGATAGATAGATAGATAGATAGATAGATACTGATAGATAGGTGCCGTGTCTGAAGAGGTCCACTGAGGACACATTCTAGATCACGGGTGTCAAACTCACCACATCACGTGACGTGTTGTGATGTATCACGACCCTCTGCATTAATAATAATAATAATAATAATAATAATGATAAAGTTGGAAGGGACCTTGGAGGTCATCTAGTCCAACCCCCTGCTCAGGAAGGAAACCCTATACCATTTTGGACAAATGGCTGTCCATTTTTTTCTTAAAAACTTCCAGTGTTGGAGCATTCACCGCTTCTGGAGGCAGGTGGTTCCACTGGTTAATTGTTCTAACTGTCAGGAAGTTTCTCCTTAGTTCTAGATATTTGGTATCTTTTCAAAGGGCTGTAGCCCTGAAGCGTTTTTTCCCTGGTAGGACCAGGCCCTCCTGTAACGTGTTGGCTAGAGACTGATGGTCAAGAACCAACTGGATATTCCAAGCTGTGGCACAGCTGCAGAAGTGCAGGTGGCCAACTCTTGTTTTTTTCTGTGTGTTGTTGCTGCTGAGTCTCCCCGGGAAAAGAACCAAGGGAAGAAGGGATAAAGGCGACAGTCACAAGCCCCCCCCCCCTTGCAAGGGGCTGAAGTCTAGAATAGCCGCGTCTTTTTAATCTTTGCTGCCCTCTACCGTTCATTTTATCGTATTTATTTAGTAAGCAAATTTATCATCATCATTTTAGCCACCCCATCGCATGGTGCTTGAGTCTCGAACCTGGGCTGTCAGCTTTCCAGCTGACAAGCTCAACATCTTTAACCGCTGAGCCATCGTGCCCCGCTCCTTTAGGTTAAACGCAGCCGGCTGAAAATCCAAGTGACAATGAGTTCTAGTCCCACCTTAGGCACAAAAGAACCGGAAGATGCTTTGTAACCTTTTCCAAACAGCATACTTCGTATCTAAAATTTGAGTTAGAGGATACCTCCTGGAAAGCAGCACTCCAAAGGATTGAAAAGATCCGCTTCAAACCGATCACGAAATACAGTACAACGTATTAAAAAATAAATGATTGTCCGAACACAGCTTGGATTTATTTTAAACCTTTTAAATCAATTCAAACTTTATTATTGCTTAAATAATTGACAGGAGAATCCCTTCCAAGGGGAAAAACTTTTTTTAAGTTAAAAAAATTTGCATCTGAGCTGCAAGAATCTGGGTAAACACTAGGGAGCAGCAAGGAAATAGAACTCTCCTTCTGTCGCCATCTAGTGGCTATTCCTGAGCTTTGCATCTGCATACAGGCATCCTTGACTTCCGCCACAATTGGAGCCAGAATTTCCATGGCTCAGCAAGGCAGTTGTTAAGTGAGTCACACCCATTTTTATCTTTTTTTGCCATAGTGGTTAAATGAATCACACGATTGTTGAGTAAATCCAGCTCCCCCCACCGACTTTGCTTGTTGGAAGCTGGCTGGGAAAGCTGGGAAAAAATGGGGACGCTGCCGGCCACGCAAAGACCGGTTGTCGCTTTTTTCAGTGCCGTTGTGATTTTTTTTTTAAATGGGTTGCTAAACAATGTCTGTAAGCTGAGGACTGCCTGTACGGTTAGCACTAACATAAGCCGATTTCTTCTTCCATATAAAGGAAAATGAGATTGTTAAAAACTGACAGCTTCACATATTAGCTGGCCCAAGAAAAAGAAGACAATTTCGCCCGACTGCCTGCGCCTGGACCACTTCTACACCAGAAACCGAATAAAAGGTCCTTTTTTTTTTTTATCTCAGCTGTGTTTCTAAATGGAATCCAGTGTGGTATGGCATCCCAGCTCAACGCAAAACCATCCCAGCAATGACCTTGCAGGACAGGGGGTGGACAATGCTGGTTCAGGAATTCTGGGAGTTGAAGTCCACAGGTTGTAAAGAGGCCGTGGTGGCCCACCCTCCAGAAGGGGGGCCACGGATGCAGCTGCTGAACTCCTTCCCTCTCTCTTTAAGGAGCTGAAGACAAAAGGCATCTCCAGCTGAAGTGCTGAGGTCAGGAGATACTGGGACTGAATGCCACCCAATCGCAGAGCAACTTCAGCATTAAGAACAGAAGATCTGATTTTTTTGCCGTTCTTTGGGTTACGCTGTAGCCGACTTTTAACATTCAAAAAATTAAATCAGCTCGGAAGAGAAGGCAGAGCCAATTCTGGAGCAAAAAGCTGTTTCCCCCCCCCCCCCAGGTCCAAATTTTACACTTACTAGTTTTGTTAAGTGGTGTAAACAACCTATAGATTAGAGAGACAGCTTAGAGCAGGGGTAGGCAACCTTGGCTCTTTTATGACTCGTGGACTTCAACTCCCAGAATTCCTGAGCCAGCCACGCTGAAGGGAAAAGGAGAGGTTTCCAAGCTGAGCCATGCCGGCTCAGGAATTCTGGGAGTTGAAGTCCACCAGTCATAAAAGAGCCAAGGTTGCCTACCCCTGGCCTAGAGGACGGTCTGTGTCAGCCATTAAGGAAACCCCAGGTCAGAAAATCAGAACAAGATAAGAAAGAAACTGAAGATTCCCCCACCTTAATTCTCTTGTGTACAAATAGCAAGAGGAGAGAGAGACTCCTGTCAGCCTACCAAGATTCTGTTGTTATACCCTTTAAGGTAGTTAATTGTTGTGTGTTTCCTAACCTGGCCAATTTGAAGGGTGGCCCAAATGAACCGTTGCCTATGCGTTGTTTGCTCTACGTGATTTTTGCACACAGCCTGGCACTGCACTCCAGGACCCAAATCAATGTTTTGCCTTTTAAAACTAAAACAATTCTCCTCCTTGGCAGATATTTTTCAGGCCAGGCCTGTAACAGACGAAAGGATGAAAGAAACTTGATCGACTCTGGAAAGAAGTGGTAGCCGAAGTGCTCTGATGGACGCTTATTGGCCCCGTGGTGCCCAAAAGTGAATTAAGGATGTACGCCTCAAATGAACAGGGTTGCGCTCCTACACTTTCTACAGACTTTCTGAGTTGGGAAGGAGCAATAGGCCATCACTAGGCGAGGTCTACCATATAGGCATCATCAACGAGGAAGGAGATCGTAAGAGAAAGCAAAATATTACAAAATCAACGTAACGTTGTGATTTGGGTGGGCAGAACAGCATTAGGCCAAACTCACTCCATCTTCTTTTTCCCGAAGGCCACACGCGGACCACTGAGGTGTCTCCCCTCTTACGCTCACATATTGGTGTACATGTCATTGATCAAGTAGTCCAGCCTGGTGTAGCGCTGTGGCTGGCGTGAGCGGAAGAGTTTCCCCCCTATCAGCACCACTGCTAAGAAAAAAAACAGCACCTCGAAAAACAAGGCAGCAAAGAGGAAGCTTTGGTGACTCAGCAGAGAGAAATCGTTTCTGGCTGGGCTGCCGTCAGGGCCGAAGCCTTCCAGACTAAGTTGCCCATCACTAAGATGGGAATTGGGAAGGGAAGCAGATGGACCACTAGGGAGAGTGGCTGACAATGAGCTGAAATGGGGAGGGCCGGTTTTGGAAAGAAGCGCCTTTGCGGTTTTGGGACGAGCGCCTTTGCGTGGCTGAAGAGTGGCCGCCTCTGTCTTTCCGGCATAAGGGGCAGAAGTGGGGACGCGGCTAGCAGAACTGTGAAGGGCTGCAGCACCAACAGCCCTGCCGGTCGAAGAGTCCAGGGTGGCAAAGGGCAGTTTAACAGCAGGAGATTGTTGGGTGGTGCTGGCAGGACGGCTGTTTTCAGGCAGCAGTGACGAAGCAAAGGTCTCCCCAGTGCTTGTCCTTCCAGCCTTGGGACGCTGGGAGGGCCCGTCCGCTTCCTCCATGGGATGCTGTGCAGGGCCAAAGAGCTCCTCTTTCTGAGAGGTCCTGGGCAAAAGGTCCGGTCCGGCCAGTGGCCTTGGAGGACCAAACCCAGCTGCTTGTGGGGACGCCGGACTTCCGTTCACCGAAGAATGAGAGAGTCTGTTTAAGGACGGAGCTGGTTTGGGCATCTCTTTGCCTAAAAAAAATGAAACGGAAGAGAGATTATTCTCTATGCCTCAGAAAAAAAACCCCTCAAGACGCATCAAGAAGTCATCACGAATGGGCCTTAAATCATTACAAGAATTTCTTAGAGGGTGCTGGAGGTGTGGTCATCCGGATGCAACTTTTTTCATATGTGGTGGACTTGTAAGGTCATTAAGGCTTTTTGGATACAACTATGGTGGAACTTACAGCAGATTTTTTAAAAAAGGATTATTTTTCTTCCACAGTTGTTTCTTTTAGGTATTGTGCAAGATTTAGATACAAAAGAAATAAATTTGATGCTTTATTGTTTATCTGCTGCCAGATTGCTAATAGCCCAAAATTGGAAGAGCCCAATTCTGCCTACGATGGGAGACTGGAGATTGAAAGTTTCGTATCTTGCTGAAATGGCAAAGATTTCGGTTTACTTGAAGAACCATTCGAATGAACAATTTTTATCAATATGGAGAAGATGGATTGTTTATATTCAAAAGAAACATAGAGTGGTAGAATACAACTTAGGTTTTTAGATTTTTTTAAGTTTGTTTATTTCTATCCTTTCTGATAGATTAAGATATTTTGTGGAGTTAGAGATATTAGTATTTGTTTACTTTTATATGAATATTATCCTGGGATTAGGTTTGGGAAGTCGGGGGGGGGGGGTTTGATTGTTTATTGTGATTACTTATGATTGTTTTTTTATGATGGAAAAATAAATAAAAATTTTTGGGAAAAAAAAAAAAGAATTTCTTAGAGGGGAAAAACAGAGCCTCGCTCCATTTCTTCATATGAAAGCTCAAAAAATGAATCTGAAAGCGATTTATCTGGACAGCCGTTTCTCCCAGAAATCTGAGGGCTGCAGATTTTGGCAGGTGAGTTGGAAATGTTTGAAACCATAAAAATCTCACGGAATTTTTCTTTTTACAGAATGCTCCTATTGGCTGGTTCGTGGATCGAGGATTACAAAAGACTCGAGAGTCACCCATTTGCCGAAACTATTGCCGTCGTAATCATTTGGAAGATTCTGGTAGTCAGAATCCCGGCACGCCAGTCCTGGTGAAAGGAACCCTCCACTCAAAATTTAATTTAGCGCTAATACGTGCTTAACGATCATCAATCAATTTAAGAAAGAATTGTGATAAAGATGAGATTTCTTCATAGTTTATATTCTATTAAAAAAAATCTATCCAGAGACTCTTTTCAATGTCATTGTGCTTTTAAGTATCTGGCTTGCTTTGCAAAAAAAGAACATATTGTATTTGTGGATAAAAACTAAACATCGCCATCAAGTAAGAATGCCACTGGCTTAAAAATAGTCACTTATTCATTACACTGTGTGATGGAATGTAGTCCAGAGTCACAAGATGGGGGGGGGGCTCTTTTCCTCCTGCCATTAGGGATTACATTCCACCACACATTGATATATAATTAGCAAACGAATAGAATAATAACTCTGAAAAAAACCCCACCTGATTATTTCCCCATGAGATCACCAGAAATCACTACAGGATCGATTTTGGGAAAAACTATTTTTCTGGCGTGTGAGAGAAAAGGATTCGGTTTCTTTAATAACAACATTTGCTACTTTCCATTTTTGAAGGGACGCCTGCCAAGTTTCACTTACGAAATCTTTTCAAGCTGGCTACGCTGAAAGCTGCTTGGAGAATATAATGACAAATGACTACAC